TGTGTGTGTGTGCGTGTGGCTGTGCGCAATTTTGAACGAAAACGTGCCTGCAAAATATCTCCCCTGATTAAGAAATTACACTGCAAGTGCTGAGCATCGTGGTCCTTCATATTTTACATGACATGAAACGCATAAAGCCAAAGTTTTGTTTTATGTTGTGCTCAAACCGTTGTAATTTGAAGCTTTTGTCATTGATGCTACTCTGTTTACATCGAATGGAATACATGTGTCTGAGCATCCCGAAACGAGATACTCACCCAATTTTTAAATAGACAATCCCCAGACAAAGTAATATGTGAACAATCCATCGCCGCGTTTTCTTGGTCATGGTGTCTGATCTCCTGTTATGGCTGCTACAGAGATCCAGAAAGGTACTGCGATTCTGGGAGTCCTGGGTCTCTTCTGTGTCAGGAGTAACGATCAATGCTCGTAATATGCATGTAGGCTCGTTGGATGTTGAAGGTTCCTTTATGAAAGTGTCGTAGCAATTTCCCCGGTATTGTCTTCTGACCTATTATTGTTATTATTATTATTATTATTATTAGTAGTAGTAGTAGTAGTAGTAGTAGTAGTAGTAGTAGTAGCAGTAGTATAGTAGCAGTAGTAGTAGTAGTAGTAATATACAAACAGTAGTAGTAAAGAAAACAGAAGTAGCAGTATCGTTTTTCGGGTTTTCTAAGCTGTCTGGTAAATGTTACAGGTAAATATACGAGTTGACAACGCAGTAGCTTTTGCGCTGCTATGATTCATAGTGCTGCCCCCCCCCCGTGGGTCCTATATAACTGTCTCATCAATCGGGGCGTGTTTAAGAAAGAAATGGAGCCTATAACCAGAATCTCATTAGCAATCATATAGTGTACATTAAGTGTTTAGGTCTATTAAAAAGCAATTGAAAAATGTAACACGAACGACTAATAAGATGAATACAATCCACACTTTGAGAATAAATAAATAAGCAAACAAACAAAACCCAACTAAGACAATATAGTGGTTGTGATCTATTTATGCTCCTTAAATATATTAGGCTACCGTCTCTTTTTCCTCCAAAGGTCGCTTTCCTGGGCTTATGGACTGAGAGAATTAGGCTATATTATAAAGCGCTTAAAAGATTGACTTACCAATTTCTTCCTGACTCAAGTCTGATGCTCTTTGCATTATTCTGTAATAAGCAAAAGTTTTTAAAAATCTTATTTGTAATGCCTCGCTTACTCCTCCCATGGTGTCCGCGATCGTTAAAATTTTCATACCTTTTCAATTGTGATAAGATTAATGAGACAGGATTGGCATAAAGCTACACCAGCTCTGTCAAATGCGTACGTACTATTGACAAGAAGCGAAAGGTGTAAAAACTAGAGAACACGTTGATAATTATACTTCCGGAATATAATTTCTGCATGTTTTTTTTTGTTAAAAAAACATGCAGTTTGTCATTTTTATTTGTTTTAGTTCTGCTTGATGTTAGGCTCCTCTCTCAGTCCCCGCTGCTCCCCCCTGGTCACACGCACATACCGCACAGGCGTCCGCCTTAGACAGAAGCGCACGTCCAGTTTACATGAAAAATACAAACGTGAATATAGATACAGAATATGAGAGAACACTTTCCAGAAGCTACCAGGCCTATGGCTATAAAGTCTTTATGTTATGAAAGTCATACAGAAACACAATTTTAAATGGTTAAAAAAGTTTTTCTTGAGGTTCACTAAGGTGCTAAATAGCCTGCATTTGTTAAGTCTGTTTAATCGTGAGGTAGCGTTTATTAGTGTATTCTGCAGAAATACAAGACCAGTAACGATGTAAATTAATATTTCTTGTAATTTCTGTAAGTTGTCTACAAGCAGCTTTGTACAATCGACATCAAGAAGATAGACTTCACTGTGTGATATTTCTTCTCCAATCCTTCTATACTTGCACCACCTACAGGTTTACAACGGCGAAACTGGCAAATAACCGTGTTTAGACTTAAATATGTTAATTGTAACCAGTGCCTCCCACCCTGACTATACCCTAACCCTAATAGCATCTGCATAAATCGTCCTTGTTAATGCAAGACTGGTAAAGAAAATTTGTGAAGAAAATGAAAACAACTGATTTGGAAAAACACAGTCAAAAGCTATACGTTAACAGCAGCAGTATTGCTATGAGTTATTACTCTGGTGTCCAACGTACATCAAACTTAAACATTATTTTGACTCTTTTTAAGTGGCCATTGTGTCCATTTCCAGGGCTCTGCTAGACTGAAAATATGACTGTATTGGTTTCCTGCTTGGTCATTGATCATAAGATATGTAATTATTCATTTTCAGTGTTAATTTGAAGGGGAAAAGATTCATGGTGTACTTTTTGGAAATGCTTCGGAAAGATACTAGACAGCACCAATAATCATACTTGGATGCTAAACCATAACTTATGGGATCAGTGTTAGTGTTTGTGTACACCTCCATAACAACAGTGTTGGGGAATTTACTCACAAAAGTAATTCTTTAAAGACAGCGGTGGAAAGTTCAGGTCTAGAAAGAACAAATCCAGACCAAGGTTTTGTTGAGTATAAAGAGATAGTCACAGAGGACTCAACTGGTTGGTTGAAACGAAATATATGAATATATATATATTTATACAGTATATATATATATATATATGATTACAAGCACACAGGCTTAGCCCACTGAACGTGTGGCTCAGTGGGCTAAGCCTGTGTGCTTGCAATCACCGGTTCAAACCTCAGCATGTCTCCGGGTCCTTGAGCAAGGCCCTTAACCCCCAGCTCCCTGGGTGCCCCAACAGGTGGCTGCCCTTCATGGACAGCTTGTTCTACAAAGAGCAAGTTGATGGAGGCATAAAAGGAATTTCCCCATGAGGGACAATAAAGGTTAAATTATAATTTAACAACTTCATATCCTGGTCGGGCATATATATATATATATATATGCCCGACCAGGATATGAAGTTGGATGGATGATTTACACTGCCTTTTTCTTGAGTATGAATCACTTTAAATCATATGAGCTCCACAACCAAGGAGCCTACTTAGTGATTTTCTGTCAGCTGAAAATCTACAATGAACATTAAGACAGCCCTGAAATGAAGAAACAGTTTGGTGCATAAAAATGCTCTGTGTCATAATGACCACAAGGGGGCGGCAGGTAACCTGAAAAATTATAATGGCAAAGAAACTACCGACAGAGTACAGATACACTATATAAACAATTGGCACACACCTCTTAATCATTTAATTCAAATGTTTCATTCAGACCCATAGCCACAGGTGTATAAAATCAAGCACCTAACCATGTAGTCAGGTTTACAAACATTTGTGAAAGAATGGGTCATTCTGAAGAGCTCAGTGTATTCAGGTGTGGTACTGTCATAGCACGTCACCTTTGCAGTAAGAAATTTCTTCCCTGCTAGATATTCCAGGGCAACTATAACATGGTTCACATGGTTGGGTGAGTTTGGTGTGGAAGAAACTTACTGGCCCGCACAGAGCCCTGACCTCAGTCCCATCAAACACTTTTCAGTTGAACTAGAACGGAGATTGTGAGCCAAGCCTTCATTATCCAACATCAGTGCCTGACCTCAGAAATGCTTTTCTGGATGATGGGCAAGAATTCCCACAGACACACTCCAACATCTTGTGGAAAGGGACTTTACCATCATGCAACATGCTCCACTATTGTCCTGGCTAGACACAAGAATGATTCTAAACTGTTTCTCTTCAGGCTAAGGATTCAGAAAGACAATTAAATCATTAATCACAATTAGTTGCATGACAATTAAGCACCAATGTATCTCTCACAGTTCTTTCTTTTATGTCACAGCCAATTTTGGTTCAAAAGAGAATTAAATGGAATGCAAATATTTAAATATATAAAAATATAAATATGAAACAACTTTTTCAAACAAGGTCATTAAAACATGCAGAAAGGAATTGGTGGGGAATGATTCTGCAAATTGTCATATAAATGGAATGTGCGATAAATAAGTGTAGTTTCAGACCTACATGTCACTACAAGGACTCATAGAATTCACGTAGAAACATGTTTATTGATTTTTACATTTTCAGGTAATGCATACAGGAGTTCTCCATAGAACTACTGAGCTCAAATGGACCCCAATTAAATGATGGGCTGCACCTAAGCTCTGCACAGTGATAGATATTTATGAGCTGGGGTGGTGACAACTGCCATTAACAAATTCCCATTTAGGGTTTATCAAAATGCTGTTCCCATAGTGGAAAAAGGAGAAAAGCCTTAGGATTTGTGTAACCATAAAGCCATGTGAAATTGTTCATGCCATTAGATTTTCCCCAGCCATTACTGCTGATACATATGCTGAATAACATTATTATTGACCGGTACATTGTATATTCTTATACTCCTTGTATGGTGAGAAAGCCTGGTCAAGCATTGAAGGAATAGGCCTTTAAAACATCCTTTTCATCTCTGGCTTCCACTGAGGCCACAATACTTTTGTAATCGCAGATTACATGTGTAAATCCCCTGCAAAATAAAAATATATGGTGCCTTAAAGTATATCGTCAGTAAGAAGTACAAAGTTACTAGCAAGAAAGTTTAACAGGATAAATTATTTGCATTTTGCATTGAATGTTAACTACAGATATTTACACAATTGAAGATTTTAAGGTGGCAGCTACAGAAATATAGAAAGATAGAGCTTGTGACCATTCGAAAGGTACATGTATTCTCTGTGTACTTTGATGTTTTCTAAACACCATTATTTCATACCAGGCCCTGGTGTGAGACCCTCCCAGCAGGTGGAATCGGCTCTCGAGAGACAGACCAGCATCGCGTTCCTTCTTCCAGGTGAGCACTCTCAGGGAGAGGTCACGGGACGCCGTAACCACGCGAAAACTGTCCTGTGTCACAGTTCCAAAACAATGAGAAAAAACGCAAGTGCATGTCTAATCAAGAATAAGGACAATATATATGACTCACCACGCAGAAAGATGCTATTGGCTCCGTGTGATCCTCAAAAGTAGCCAATAAGGCACCTTTTAGGGTGTACACTCTCAGGTGGTTCCCAGCTGCAACCACAAAGGTAGCAGCACCTCTGGCTTGCAGGTGCACATCTGTATGCCAATTAGTCAAACCCAGCGGAAAGCTTTCTACCTGCTGAACTGGATTGTTATGGATTTTATTAATATTATGAACGTGAACAGCAAGAGGACATTTAACATTGATCCCTTGAACATCCATTAGCTTCCGCTTCCCAAACCATCACTGTCAATTTTAATTTAATGCAATTTTAACGCCTCCTGAAACTACAGCATGAGTGTTGCATGCTTTTTGGCAGAACTGCTGAGCTAACTTAAAAAAACAACTGTTACAGAATTACAGCATAGAATAAAGTTAATAGAGGTACATGAGCTAACAGTTGTGAGAGCTTCAATCAGATTAAATTTTTGTAAACTGGGGTAACTGTTCACACAATCCAATTCAAAGATTATGATCTGACGGATTGTGAATATGCATAAAAGTGAAGCACATGTACAATAGGAAAGGATTATTCTGAGATAATCTGAAAATACTGGAATTACTCTTTCATAAATATCATTATAAAACATTCATAGCATCAGAACTCAGAAGTTAATTCAAGAAAATGCAGGAAAAAAACTTATTCCATACAAATTTTAAACAACCCAGTTTGCATGATTCAATACCAAACTTTAAAATACATGTGGAACAATAAGCTCATATTAGAAAAAAATACCTTCAACTTCCTGTTTGTATTTTGATTTTTTAATAGTGATTTCAAAGACGGAGAGTGTTTTGTCCGTCTGATATCCGAATGCATCACTGTGCAGCACAGCCACTCGGGGTGGTTCAGAGGCCAGGAAAACCGCAGCCAGACAGCAGGAGACGGGCACAGACTGCCCCAGAGGAGGATCATCCTCAGTGACACACCTCAGACTGCGGCTGCAGAAAACCTGTGCAGCGAAACCTCTGGTGAACTACACCGATCCTGACTTCAGTGAGACAAAACTGAAGGGATGCATAAAAATTACCTGTGGGTGACAGTCTGCGCCCTCTGTGCTCGCAGCGAGGATCCATTTCTTATCAGGAGATGAAATCAATATGTCGATATTGAAAGCCTGGAAGAGCACCTGACGCCAGACCAGTGACAACGAGGGGACTGCCAGCATGCAGACGGCCCCGCTGCTAGTGCCAACCTACAAGAAAATGATGAGAGCTGTTTTAAAATGCATATTATTTGTGCAGAAATATTTCTCATAAGGTTTATACTTTTGAGTTTAACACTAACAAAGAGGGCAGACTGGTCATCAGCACTAAAGGGCAGCAACTTGCACTTGGAGGCCGCAGTGGGGAAGGCAGCCACTTCCTGTCCTGTGCAGCCATCCCAGGCTTTGATTACTCCTGTAGTGTCCCAGGTGAAGACAGCTTCACGCTGAGGATCAGTGACGACACCCGACAGAGGGCTTTGGACAGGACTTGACCACAGCTGGACGCCCTGCTCCGAGAGATGCAGAGCTTAAGTTTTGGCTTGTAATTCACCATCACTCTTCAGGAAGGAAGGTGCTCACCTGCTGAACATTCCACGCACGGACTGTACCATCAGAAGATGCACTGCAGACAATGGACGGTCTCTCCCAGTTGTCAGAGTCATGTCTGTTTTCCTGCAGGTAAGCAAGTCCAACCACTCTACCTATTATTCAAACAAATGAAGACAATCTGAACCTCAGGTGAACCTCAAAGGACATGAGAACAATATCTTCTGCATGGAAACACTTTCTCTCTTCTTTCCTTGAAGTGCTTCACCACACTGGCTATCACATGCTTTAAAGTTCTTCATACGTACCTGTATGACCCCTCAGGCTTTTGCATGTGTAGTCTGTGCACGATCGGCCCGTCTTCATTTTGTGTTCCAAACTGGAGCGCTGCAGGTAATAACTCTTCCAGCTCCGCTTTCCATTTTCTGAACTGCACCGACTGATATTACAGAAGCTCCAGCGATGCAGACACATCTGTCTATGTAGGGAAGTGCAAAGAGATGTCAAAAGTTGTAACATTTAGCGTTAGTGGTAAGTAATGTGGAGTACTTCTGATGACGATAAAAATAATTAGGCCTATATGAACTAAGGGAAACTTACCAATACTGCTTAATGGTTTTACTTGAGCTGCCCACTAATGGATTAATAAAATATATTGGAATTGTTTAGATTTCTCTATGAACAGCTCCTATAATGTGATCTGATCTTCATTTAAGACTTATTTAACAAATGTACACAGTACATTTTACTACAGAGGGTCAGATGAAACTTTCCAGCTAATTGTGTTGAAAAGCGGTTCATTTTTCGAGGCTTCAATACAATACAAGTTTTGATGGCGAACTTATGCAAGAAAAATGTCTTCGACAGACAGCGGGTATCTGTTGGGGGGAGGTGAAGCCTTGTCTGTGGTGGCCCCCCAGTAAACTTGCAGTCCGTCGTGCTCCATACGCACTTCGGAGGCTGACTGCACGGATTTTAATGAACTTCTTCGTCGAATTGGACAGATGTGTCAGCCGAATAAATGAATGTAACAGTACAGTGACGGAGAAACATTTCATATGTACGATTCAAGATAATATCAAGCAAACTACAGGAAGTATGAATGACTGATTTCCGGGTATTTAAAAGGCATAAAGGATGGTTTGCGTTACCTGAGCAGAGATACTCACCGCCAGAGCCAGGGTGTCTCTGCAGCTTCATACCACCGCTGTGAAAAACACAAGCTAATTATTAACTTTTAATTTTACCGGCTAATGCTATATACACAATCATCATTTATCTTTTACAAATGACAATGACATGCAGTCTCAGCTACAACACATTCGGTCGTCTTACAAACTATGTAAAAAGAAGCAAAAAGTGGTTGCATTTTTTTTAAAGCGGATGTCAGTTTGTCCTCTAAAGATAATAACACGTTTTACATCTGACACAGAGTCCAAACATCAGAAAGTGTCAGAATAAAGTTAGCAAACATAACCTGAGTATCTCAGCTGTGCTAGCTAACTGCGAACAACTCATGCTAATAAAGTATCCCAGACCTTACAAACACCCGAGGCATTTATTAAGTCGTTGTCAGTAAGTAATGAGAAAACGTGAATCAAGCAATCCAAGGTTAAATCGGATAAATCAGAATCCATAGTTTAAAATGTCATTAAAGTGAATGTTAGCGTCACGACGCTCCCAATGTCTGTTTCGGCGTAAAATGCGGAAGTACGCGCCCATTGGCTGAGAGATTCAGCGCGAAATTATATTTTAATATCAAAGTCAAAGCATGTAAATAAACAATAAATACGGCATCCATTTATACTGGGGTGCGTTGGACAATAAGCGCCTTTACGCACCTTTTTTAAATGACAAAGCAGTGTTTTCTCACCTTTTCATGATCGTTTACTCACTTGTCATTATGCAATTCATGAAGTTTGAGTCAAAATATACTGCACTCTAGACTTAAAAAAATATATAACAATATAGGTACGTGTCATTTAAAATGATATCAGATCGTGTACTGGATACGGTCAATTTAAAGTAGTAGCGAAACCAGAGACAAAATGAGTGCCAAATGATGAAAAACAAATGGATTATTAAATCTAAATTAGAAATGCTTACATGGGATAGACAAAATAGGAATACAAATTTAGGATGGACACTCAGGAACAAAATTCAGCCTCAATCACACCTTGCTCAGTATATATCAAACCTGTGACATAAATTCCAGGCAACACTGATGTAATAACTCAGGATTAGTTTGTCCCTGTGCTGTGCAGGTTTTCTTCTGAGTGGTTTGGTTAGATGAATAGATATAGAAGAAATAGCTGATGGTTATGGCAGCATTTGGCCCACAGTGAATTGAAATCCCATCGAAGGTGTCTTCTGCCTTATAAGGGCAGAGAAACAACAGGTTCCACAGCCCTAATGGATTAGCAGTTAGTGGGGATAACTGGATTACTCTTCTTAATTTATTACACCGCTAAGGTGATTCCTTGAGCATGTTGACCATGATGTTCTCCTGGCATCCGCCAAACCCAGACATGTCTATCAAACTGCTAGACAGAGAAGCAAGATTCATCACTCCACAGAACAGGTTTCCAGAGTCCAGTGGCAGTGTGCTTTACACCACTCCATCCGATGCTTGGCATTGTGCATGGTGATGTGAGGCTTTCATGCAGCTGCTCGGCCATGGAAGCCCATTCCATGAAGCTCCTGGCACACAGTTTTTGTGCTGGAGTTAATGCCAGAGGAAGTTTGAAACTCTGCAGTTATTGAGTCAACAGAGCGTTGGCGACTTTTACACACTATGCGCCTCAGCACTCAGCGACCCCACTCTGTTACTTGTCATGGTCTGGCACGTCGTGGCTGAGTTTCTGTTGTTCCTAAAAGCTCCCAATTTGCAAGAATACAACTAACAGTTCAGAATGGAATATGTAGCAGGGAAGAAATTTCACAAACTGACTTATTGCAAAGGTGGCATCCTATGACAATATGGAATGTTATTTAGCACTGTAAAACATATAGAGAATGTAATCATAGGACACTATTAAGAAGATGTTAATGTAAACCATAAAAAGTGTGACCTTATAACTTTCCGAAAATGTAGATCAATTAATGCTGCAGGGTGTAATCAAAATAACTATGTATCTTATGTTAGCCTCGAAGTTTCTATATCTGTGTCTTGTTTTAGCCCTGGTTATATGACTAATCCACTGTATTAGCAATGCAACTTATCAGAATAATTTAATTAGCTCTGCCGCTAAGCACCGCATGTCCAGCTGAAACCACCAAGACTTGCTACTTTTTATCTATTAAATCTGTGTACAGTTTTGCTTTCCCACCGTAGTGTTCTTGGCTAAATCTGGGCTTCTTGCCATAATTATACCAAGAACATTATAAGGAGACAATCTTGTTCCAGTTGTGCTTTCCAGAATGCAGTGTAGCTGAGCGCTACATACCAACTCTGCCATGTTGCCAGCTGTGCAAAACACAGTGGATAAGACAAATATATTTATGGCACGGAAACTTTAGGAAGTACAAAAAACTTGCAAAAGCATAAAATAAGGATCTGACTGTGCCAAAAAAAGAACATATTTGATTATTTATAACAGAAATATTAGCATAGCTAAAGGAAAACCCATAGATTAACGGTGAGTCACCATTCCCAAATCCTCCTCAGCGGCAGATGCTGTAGAGTGACTTGTTCACGGTCACATGACTTGTTGAGGGGAGCCAGTTGAGTCTGATTTTTCCATGACCTTCTGATCTCATGACATTCTTATCTCATGCAGGACTGGCCAAAGGATTGTTCTCATGCTGTTATAAACGGCCTTTCCATCGTCGGAGTCCTTCCTCATCTAGATTAACATAAAGGCAATTATTACCCAAAGCCATCAACATTCAACGTCAACAGATTTTGATGAACTTCACATACCTTTGTGAAAGCCTTTATTGTCCTGTTTAGAAAAGCTTCTTCAACTTTCTCTGGTACAGTCAACAAATGGGCAAAGCAGTCAATAATGCACATTAGTGTTCCCTTGGATCCCTGTGTAAAACATTAAAAAATACATTTTGTATAACAATGTCCCTGAATAAAAATAAATGATTGTGCTTGGATCTGACCAGCTAAAATAATATCCTAGAGTCCACGGCTAAAGTTTATGGAAACCAACCTTTGTTATTACTCCCTTTACACATAACAACAACTTGAAATATATAACAAACATGATTTACAAACGAAATGTATGTTATTTACCACAGTGTTTCCCGACTTGGTCAGGGACCCCCAAACATTCCAGGTTTTTTGCCAGGAGCTGGGAAGGAGCAAAAATAAGGACTGTCTGGGGGTCCCCAAGGACCGGGGTGGCAAACACTGATTGAGGCATATGTAAAACACACATATGTACGACACACATATGTAAAACACACATATGTATGACACATATATGTAAAACACACATATGTACGACACACATATGTACGACTCCTGGAGCCGACACCTTATCGTGGTGGAGGGGTTTGCGTGTTCCAATAATCCCAGGAGCTAAGTTGCCTGGGGCTTTATGCCCCTGGTAGGGTCACCCAAGGAAAACAGGTCCTCGGTGAGGAACCAGACAAAGTGCAGCTCATCAGACCCCTTATGATTAATACAAACATAGATCCACGGTTTCCTTCGCCCGGACACGGGTGACCGGGGCCCCCCCTGGAGCCTGGCCTGGGGGTGGGGCTAGATGGCGAGCGCCTGGTGGCCAGGCCTGCACCCATGGGGCCTGGTCGGGCTGAAGAAGGCATGTGGGTCCCCCCTCCAATGGGCTCACCACCTGTACGAGGAGCCATAGGGGTCGGGTGCAGTGCGAGTTGGGCAGTGGCTAAAGGCAGGGACCTTGGTGGTCCGATCCTCGGCTGCAGAAGCTAGCTCTAGGGACATAGAATGTCACCTCTCTGATAGGGAAGGAGCCTGAGCTGGTGTGCGAGGTTGTGAAGTTCCGACTAGATGTAGTCGGGCTCACCTCGACATACGGCTTGGGCTCTGGAACCAGTCTCCTTGAGGGGGGTTGGACCTATTGCCCCCTGGCTGGGTGCCTGTACATTAGGCCTTACTGCAGTAGATGAGAGGGTAGCCTCCTGTCGCCTTTGGGTAGGGGGACGGGTCCTGACTGTTGTTTGCACTTATGCGCCAAGCGGCAGTTCAGAATACCCACCCTTTTTGGAGTCCTTGGAAGGGGTGTTGGAGAGCGCTCCTCCTGGGGACTCTCTTGTTCTGCTGGAGGACTTCAATGGTCACGTGGGCAATGACAGTGAGACCTGGAGTGACGTGATTGGGAGGAACGGCCCCCCGATCTGAATGAGAGCGGTGTTTTGTTATTGGACTTCTGTGCTCATCACGGATTGTCCATAATGAACACCATGTTCAAGCATAAGGGTGTCCATATGTGCACTTAGCACCAGGACACCCTAGGCCGCAGTTCAATGATCGACTTTGTAGTCGTGTCATCGGATTTGCGGCCGCATGTCTTGGACACTCGGGTGAAGAGAGGGGCGGAGCTATCAACTGATCACTACCTTGTGGTGGGTTGGCTTCGCTGGTGGGGGAGAAAGCTGGCCAGGCCTGGCAGGCCCAAGCGTATAGTGCGGGTCTGCTGGGAACGTCTGGCGGAATCCCCTGTCAGGAGCTTCAACTCCTACCTCCGGCAGAACTTCTCCCATGTCCCGGGGGAGGCGGGGGACATCGAGTCCGAATGGGCCATGTTCCGCGCCTCCATTGTGGAGGCAGCTTACCGGAGCTGTGGCCATAAGGTGGTCGGTGCCTGTCGCGGCGGCAATTCCCAAACCCGCTGGTGGACACCAGTGGTGAGGGATGCCGTCAAGCTGAAGAAGGAGTCCTATTGGGCCTTTTTGGCCTGTGGGACTCCAGAGGCAGCTGACAGGTACCGGCAGGCCAAGCGGGATACAGCTTCGGCGGTCACCGAGGCAAAAACTCGGGTGTGGGAGGAGTTTGGCGAGGCCATGGAAAATGACTTCCAGATGACTTTGAGGAGATTCTGGTCCGCCATCCTGCAGCTCAGGGCAGGAAAGTGGTGCAGCATCAACACTGTTTATGGTAGGGATGGGGTGCTGCTGACCTCAACTCGGGATGTTTTGGGTCGGTGGAGGGAATTTTTTGAAATCATGCAGATGTTAGGCTCTTCACTGCAGGCTATCCTGAGGGATTAAGGCGTGTCACTCAGCAGACCAGCTCTGCTGCCATTGGAGGACCTGTATATCGGGAGCAAACATTACAGGCTGCCTGAAGGCTTACAGACTGTCACTCAGTCTCAGTGTCTGCCTGGACCATTAATGAGCTGCCACGAATCAAGAGAGGCTAGCGCATTCTGTCCACAGTCCTAAACACATATGTTGCATGTTCTTGGGTTTGACTCCTGAAGTTGAAATTAGTCTGAGTAAAAAGAAAAATCTACAGTAACAATGTACTAAAAGAATTTTGAATGATTTTTATATCAACTATAACATTTTTGTCAACATTTTGTTATATATGTTACACATACTGATTGTCAGTATGAGTCACTTATAAGCACAAATCCTTCATTAGATAAAATTTTACTCTTATTTGATATGAATAGTTAGTTTCACATTATATGCAAAAATGAAATACATGATCTTTAAGACAAAGCACAACATATTTAGCATATTAGTGTCACTGAAGGATGTTATATATAA